CATCCCTTTTTTTCTTTGTAAAGGCTCATCGGCTAGATTTTGCAAATTGCAGAATTTCTTTATAAGCCTCCTGGCGGAGTTGATGTAATAACTGTTCAATCCCACTTTTACCTCATCATCTCCTTCAGAAACCACTGCAGTGGTACCTATCTTCAGATCAAAACTCTTTTTGCTAATATAATGCCTCTGCCATGAGTGGACCAACTTCTCTATGTGTGTTATCTTCCATTTTATGCACACCAAATTATTTTATCAACCAAAAACATACTCAGATTGGAAACATACACATCACCATCATCCAAAATCAGATTCTATTCTTCTAACTCCTCCAGATTCTTAAGGGATCCTGAGAAGGCCAAAATCTCCTATCTTTTAATATTCTTGAATATTAAATTTCACAATTAATTACATATTGTATTGTATGTTTCTGTGGTTTATTATAGATTTATCTTGACCAACTGAAGAACTGTGAATTCTTACAGCTGAAGAACTGTGATACATATCTCGTCTCGTAAGATTCATTATTAATCATATAGTAAATACCAAAAATATAATGAATGATCGACTTGTAAATAAAAAAAAGTAATTGTCTTCACCTAAGAGATTCAATTCAATTTGATTCAGTAGTCTGAAATTTAAGAGTGATTTGATCATCAGAATTTCTATTCTGACCTCTTTGACTTTCTCTATTGCTCCAGGCAAGTCATTTTAGTGATTTGGGACACATTTTCTTAATCCAAAAATGGAAGGAAGGCTTGCCATTTGTCTTATTCATAGAGAGTTGTGAAGAGTGTCCTAGTCAACTTAAAGCACATGGTTAATATACAGCTTAATAAAAAAGATAAATAACATCTCATGAATTTGAACCACCGTTCAATTTCTTCTGCCCTTTCATCTTTTGATTCAGTATTCTTTCACAGAAATCTGAAAACTTTAATTTGAGAAAGTGCTTTACTAATAATTACAGACTTCATACATTAACATTTTTTATCATTAGATACACTTGGATGATATCCGTTTATTCTTCGGAAGAAACTGATAGATCACTATAAGTGCATAGAAAAACATCTGATGATAGGATCTCAGGTATGGAAAATTTGGGTATGAAAATATTGTATCAGGGAATCCTGTTTTCTATGGAATAGCACTAGGTACCTTCAGGTAATATCTTCTTTATTTCTCTAATTCCTTAGGCAAAATTCCTATCTTACTAAAAGAGTTAATTTTCTTTCACTGTAAATTATGGAGTGAAAAAACTAAAAAATCCTTCTCCATATGTCTAAGGAAGCACAAAAAACTTGAAATAATTTTATTGTATTGAAAATGCTCATAATGGAACATCAGAGTCAAATAAACAATCTTTTCTTGTGATAACATACCATGTGAGGTAGGATTGTCTAGTACTTTTGAGTGGGCCCAAAAAATAAATTTTGAAAATAAATTTTAAGATTGAATAATTAGGTACCAGAAGATTTCTGAAAAAAATCACAAACCATCCTAGAGATGACAGTTGGTGACTGTTCAACAATGTAGATGAAATATAGTCTAACTTGCAAGGAAGAAGGGAAACAGGCTAACAGACAACTGTAAAATGCCCAGAAACAAGATTTCCCACATTTTTGGTTATGTAATTCTTCCAATTACTTTCCCTTTTCAGGATATAGATTTTAAAGCCTCATGCATTTTACAAACACTTTTAGTAGTGTGAACTAATTAGGTAAAATACAGGAATAATAATAAAAAAAAAGAATCTTGTTTTACTACTTGAAAGAATTGTATGTAGGAGGGCCAGGGATTTAGCTCAGTGGTTTTGCCGCCTGCTGCACAAGTACAAGGACCCAAGTTCGATCCCCAGTACCAAAAAAAAAAAAAAAAGAATTGCATGTAGGGATGTCAGGAGAGGGAGCAATCTGAAATTTTGCTGAAGCTCAGTGTTATATTGCATGTGGATTTCATTTGCCTGCATTATTTCTGTTACCCTGGATATAGATCAAGGCTCTAGACTGTTGCCTCTTGAGTCCTTACCCCTGCTCCTCTGAAGTGATGTGATCTGTACTTTGTCCCAGTGCTCTGGCTGCATGGTCTTCTCACTTATTTCTGTAGATGAGCCTTGCTTTTTCTGGCTTGGGGCCTTTGTCACACAGCTCATGCTTCTTCTAACATTCCATATCCTCCTCTTCTTTACCTGGGTAACTAGCACCCACTCTTTAATATCAACTCAAACTACATCCTTGGGAAAGCCTTCCCCAAACCCCAGGACAAATCATATCCACTTGGTGACATTGCTGCTTTATGGCACCTAAGACTTACCCTAATTTGCAAAAATACTTCAGTGATTTAGCAAAAATATCTCCCAACTATTTGGTAAGTTCATGAAATAGAAACTACACATAAATTGTTAACCACTTATTTCGAGCACCCAGTGTATTGAATGACACAGGGGAGGGGCTTAGTGATTCTTGTTGAATCAATAAGTGAATAGCTAAGTTATGAAAGGAGTATGGCAATGAAAGAAGAAGAAATAAACATAACTGAGTTTAAAGCAGACTTCAGAATATAAAAGAAATGTTACATAGCCTCTAGATTTTAAAAAATGGAACATAAGATAATAATGGTATGCCATATAATTACAGTAAATTAGTATGGCAGAAGTAAAATTAATATCTTTCATTTTTAAGAACAAATTTCAATGAGAGGAAAATAGCTGGCTTCCCACATATTTCTTAAGTTTATATGCAATTATATTTAAGTTATTTTATTATAGCTGGAGGGAATTTCGATCTTCGCGAAGTTTAGCCTGCATTAACAAATCCTGTTTCATGCCTTTCAAGAGATTAATAAATCTTAGAAGCTAAAATTTTAAAGGACATTGAGTCTTAATTATTTTTTTGTTTCTGAATTCTTAGCTCATGGTTTCAGCCAATGCTCACTGGTGACCAGGTGTTCTTAAACTTAAGACCGTACAAACAGTAACAAGGTGGTGAAGGCCTGAGCTTGAAAGTCAGATCTTTAATGAGTCTGCAAATATAATTTTTAGGATATGCGGAGGAAAAATCAAAAGTTGATCTATCCACTCGACCCCTGGCTGCCCCATCCCATCACAGGATATATTATCATCGCACAGTGCAACCACTTCGACACGGCCCAAAACTTCAAGTAGAAAGTCACCATTTGTGTTCCAATAGCAAAAGTCTGTGAATCTGAACCTGCACATTTAAAAGCCTAATGACAGTTCCAAAGTAAATGTCTAGATACTTTCATTAAACACAGGTTCAGTCATATTCATCAGTTTTAAAATAAGCATAGCTACAGTGCACATCATTTATATTTCTTTTCAAAATTGTGCAAACTTTATAGGTGCCAAAAGATATTAATTTCTGCTATCATTATTTACCCAAAATACGGACAAGAAAAAAAGGGCTACTTATTCTCCCATTTCTGTTTCAAAGTGAGATTTGATCACCAAAAATTTAGGTCTTCTCCTGCTCTGAATTCCAGACTATAAGGTTTTTCCAAGATATTATTATAAAATATATATTATCATGAATAGAGAACCCTAAATGTCTTATTTACAGAAAGAACCCATAATAAGTTATTTGACTGAGAGTTTATGTCTACCTATGGAAGGAGAGGGATGAAGGGAAGGCGGCGGGGTGGAGGGGGACTTCCCAGTCTGTTCACTTTTGTTCTGAAGAGGTATCATAGAAATTTTCTTTCCACAGAGTCTAATGGGTAGTGTTATTAATCAGACCTACAAAGTCCCCCCAAACTCTCCTGTGCTCAAAGGTGGGACTTTTGATGGATGATTGGATCATGGGAGCATTATACTCTTCAGTGTATTCATCTCCTAGTGAATTCAGTAGTCACATGTACTATCGATAGATGAATCACTGGGGCCATAAACCAGAAGGGCATATCTTGTTCCCCAGATCCTCCCTTCACTCTTTCTTTCTGGTCACCATGACGTGAGTGGGTTTCCTCCACCAGACCATTTCCACCATGCCCTCCCTACTTTGGAGCCAGCTGATTATGAACTGAATCCTCTGAAACTATAAGTCAAAATAAACCTCTCCTCATTGAAGTTGCAGATGTCAAGTATTGCGTTCCAGTGATGGGAAAATGACTAAGACAGGTGGCTTAAATTTGGAAGTCACAAATTCATTTATTGAATTTACAAACGTGATCAACACTGAATATCTACTATTTTTCTGTCTGTGAAAGACAAAATCTGCAAAACAGGTACAAAATTGAAAGCACTAAATCAAATACAGCATTGTACGCTGAGTTGTAAAATGACGAGCCCCAGATGGTGAAGGAGGTCAGGGGTCAGATCTTGAGCCAAGCTGGGGAAAGGTTCTAGACGCAGTAACCTTTTGGACTCAGATGAATCATGGGTACAAGTCTATGTGTTTAGGTGTGAGGAGATGGGAGTAGGAAGGAAAATAGGATGCCTATAAGAATTTTCAGTGCGTAAGTGCTAATAATAATGGCATCTTTTCTTCATTGAACTATTAAAAAGACATTTAATTTGGCTACAGAAAATGTGAGATGCTGAAGAGAGAAAAGAGACAATTCTTAGATGAAAGAATAAGGATTTCATGTCAAAATAAAAAGGGAATAAATAAATGTGAGACTGCTGCAAATGTTTTTATCTCATTTGTGTCAGGATGGTCACCCTAGGAAAGCACGTGAAGGCTGAATTACAGGAGACAAGACTCCTATTAAAGATCAACAATGTAAATTCTGTAATAGCACAGGTGAAAAGAGAAATGAACTTGGGTATCTCAGATGAGATCAGTGTGGGCTGTAAGGAAGAGGAGAGTTTGCAGGACACTGAATTTACCATCACTTTCAGTTTTCAGTGCATAAAATTGATGTTAAGAGGGATGCTCCAACGAATTTACAGAATCAGTGATAGATAAATCCAACTATTAAAACCAAGGCCTTCAATTTAAAGGAATATACACTGTTTTAAAAGACAACAAAACACTACACTTATATTTAAGCTATCAAATGTTTATTTAAATGTCTTTTTAAAACATTTCAAGAAAAAGTATGTACAAAAACCAATATAAAACTGAAGCCACTAGAAGCATAACAGGTATACATATACACAAAACTAAAATTAAATTCAATGCAATTTTGAATGGAATCCTATTGCACCAACATTCATTCCATACAAAACCACATGCGTAGAGTTCCCATCAGATGAAAGCACACTTGTTTCATAGTCTCTTACCACTTTCATAAATAGCCCATAAACACCATCTGGCAGTGTGACTGCTGCACCAGAACTCTCCCCAGAGGGAAATCATTTAACTGTAGAAGAATCTATTTCATTTCACAGATCACATGTTGGTACAGGCCCCAGTGCCAAAGAACCCTAAGACAAACAACACAACCCACACAGGAAAGTCCCCCTGTACCATTTATCTTCTCATAGTTTAATACCTCTGTATTCCTAAGGTGGTTGGAACATAGATGCAGAAAAGCAATTTTTCTCTTTAAGAGTTTATCAGACAATTTAAGACACTGGGTTAAATTTTTACAAAGTGCACACTATCATCTCTATCAGGTTTCATAGCTACACTACCAGAGCGAAGAAATGATGCCAGAGATGAGGACCACTCTGTCTTTGCTGGATCTTCCTAGTTCTGTATTTTAGATCACCAGACCAAACTCATCAGGCTCTCACCATTTGGGGAATGGCACAAGGTCATCACAAACACATTCCAGATCAAACTTCAGGATCTAGCTGTTCTGTTAATTATAGCTAGCGTAAGTACAGATCAAAGGGAAGACTTCCAGCATAAATAAACTTTAAGAATAACCTATCACTTTGTCATTTAGTTAAATTGATTCCATTAATGCAAATTATTGCCATAGAACATAAAAGGTATTTAAATATATTTATGTATAGTACCTAATAATGTTAATATAAACATACCAACACAAAAACAAATTTTTCTATCCCTTGACAAATGAAAAATGCCATTATTACTGGGTCATATTTTAGAAAAAGCTAAAAACAAAGACACATTTTTTATAAAGTAAATCCGGATATACTTACAATAAAAATACATAAAAGATTCATCGTGAGATGAACTCTGAATTAATAACTAAAAACCATCTACCAGTGCATTACTACCAGGTAATCCACTCTATGATAAGTGAGAGCCAAGCTCTATGAAATTTAGATTTAAATCCTTGTCAGAAAAGTAAGACAGATGAAGGTCACCAAGCATTCAGTACAAGAGGCCATTTGTCTTGCCTCTTCTGGCACATGCTTATTATAAAACCACAGGCAGCCAATACTTAGCATCTGTAAAACACATGTTTGTTCACCTGTTTGGCACAGGGAAAAAACACATCTGATGCTTATATTTGCAAAGTTCCCAAATGTTGTTAAGTATTATATGCTGAAAACATTACTATTGTACTGCATTCCATCTCCAGAGAGGGAGAAATTTGGGGCCGATGTTTGTGCCCTAAATAAGCAACATTTTAAAGCAAAGTATATCCTAATATTGCTATGGATTCTAGGAACTATTTTTTTTCTCATTAAGTTTATTGGTACATTTTAGCAAAGTCTTTGTAAATAGTTTAGGAACTCTTAAATAGTGAACATGGATAACGTCCAAAAAAGAACCTACCAGGGAACAGTGGCGCATGCATGTGACCCCAGACATTAGGATGCTGACACAGGAGGATCACAAGTTCAAGCTCAGCTTGGGCAACTTATGAGACTCTGTCCCCAAAGTAAAAATTAACAAAAGAGCTCAGCACTCCTTGGGTTTAATCCCCAGTACAAAAAAGAAGAAAGGCGAAAAGAAGGAAGAGGGGAAGGAGGAAGAGAAAGAGGAGGAGGAGGAGGAGGAGAAAAGGCCCAGTTTTCAAGATTAAGTTTTAAAAATTTAGTTCTAGATTTGTAGCAGTAGTAGTAAGATTCACAAGGAAAAACTATCGAATAAATTTTTCAAGGAAAGGATCAGATTACTTAGAATTGTTGAATTCTGGTGGGTTTTGTAACAACTGTGTGTGTGTGTGTGTGTGTATGTGTGCACCCGCACATTGTTGTTGTTTCCATTCAAGAACTTTTTCTCTTTTAGAACCATATAATCATTTCGAACAATATGTTTAATTTCTCCGAAGTATTTTTCTACTTTAATATATTTTCACATTATATTAGTAAGCAGAATTTGCAATGAAGGAGAAATTCTAGCACAAATTAATTTAGAAATCCTTTGAAATAAGACAGTTCAAACCTAGGATGAGGGAACGACACTGCATTGTATCCCAGTGTGATATGAGGGTATTTCCTACCATGCTTCTAATAAGGTTCATTAGTAGGAATATGTGAGGTCTAACTTCATAGTCACATTACAGTCAGACCACTTGCTATCCAATTATGCAGCTGTAACATCCAAAGACCTAACATATTTCCCCACAAGATGCTGTGCAAAACACCCTGTCAGAAAAGGTACTCAAAATATCATCACTGCTACAAAAGAAATAACTGCCTTAATCTCTTTTCTCTTCCCCTCTGCCTTTCATCATGGTCTTCTAGAGGCTTCGACGAGAGGTAAAAAGGTCTTAGCAAGCAGGTTTTCTAACCAATAAAGTAATTCACTTGAAAAGCATGCCTTAAAAAAGTCAGTAGTGTATATATATATATATAGAGAGAGAGAGAGAGAGAGAGAGAGAGAGAGAGAGGGTTAAAAAAATATGTTCTGTTTCAATCACTGCAGCTGTCTGCATTGTCTCTCAGGTGCCTAATGCACCACAGTTTCTTGAGAGAATCTTTATCTATAAAATTGCATAGGCAGTTATTGATATAATAAATGTACTTTGATCCAAATAAGCTGACATATGCACATATACAAGACAGCTATTTGGAGTCTGAAACAATACTCTGTGCATTTTAACCCAAAGGTAACATAGATGAGAGGGGAAAAAAACTTCCCAAGAAAGTAAACCTATGTGGTAGATTCAAACTAAGAAAATCTAGATAATTGTGCAAATATAAATTAAAATTCACTTCCTATCTTAAGAGTATAATGTCAAAAATGAAATGAAGGATGTCATTAATTTATTCAAATAAAACAAAAATGCTTCAAAAGGACCAAGTTAATATTGATATGAGGTTGTAAGGAAGACAGCTCACATCATAAGGAAATTTGGTGCTTTCTGTAAGACCATGATTCATGTTTTTTGAATCCGTATTTATGCTAAAAATATATAAAATACTTAGTTTTAGATCCAAACTAATTTGAAAATGCAATGAAAAGAGGAAAGGTTTACTTTCAAAAATTTACTGTTAAATTATGTGTTTAAGTACAGTACTAACAAATTATGGCCTATACACAGGTCACAGTTTTAGATATTTCATATATTGAGATAGATTTTACAAATACTGTTTATGGGGAAATTAAGCTAAAATATGCATATAGGTAATAATTCTTTTATCTACATATAAGTAATATAAACAAAAACCATGAAAATGACACATTATCAATTTTAATTTATATCTACTACTATCTTCTTGCCAGTTCCACAATAGCATGACTTAATTGCTGATTTCAAATAGTTAGGAAAACAAAAAATAACCCTGTAAACACTATCAGCACCAACATACTGTATATCATGTAGAGGAAAATGAAGCAACACTATATTCAAGTAAAATCAAATTTCTTGAGTCATCTGTATTCAAATCCCAAATCTCTGTTTTTTTCTAAACTAAGAAAAATACCTACCATTTTAATCCCACTCATTGTGTTTCTTTCCTTCAAAACCAACACATAAAATCTGACAAAGGTGAAACTATTTTCTTATATGTCACATATCTCACAAGAAAGCCATTAAAAAGTAGATGTAAATACATCAGTTAAAGGATAGCTTTAATACTTAACATATATATTAAATATCCCATAGGGGAGTTATTTTACCTTATAAAGACAGATGCGGATTTTATGTGGCCAGAAATATATATAATTTTCCTGGTCTTCTTCAGGAAAATTAATGTAAAATTCCTAATGTAAAGTTAGATACAAGATATTGGAAGGATCTTGTCTAAGTGAGAGGCACTGAAACTTATGTTTAATTACTTCTTAAGGTATCTGCTTATACACAGCAGACAAATCATTTTTAATACTTCTCCAACTACATTGCATAATGTATTGTATAACATCAAAATGCAACTCTAATCACATACTACCTTTCATTTTCTAGTATTCTGACCTTCAGTTTTCTATCCTTTCATAACTTACACCTGAACTAGAAGAGATCAGTATTAACAAAGGTCAAAGTTCTCCCTTTTTTAGCATTACAGTCATCTGCAAATTGAGATAAAATAATGAGTTTCTTGAAGGCTGATCACAGATCACAAAGAATTCTGTTATGTGATCATACATGTGTTAACCATCTGTTGATATATCAAATAACAATGGAGGAAACAATTTCACTAGACCCACCAGACAATCTGGAAATCTGTTTCAACATACATATTTTAGTTTTAGAGGAACTGCCGTTCATTGCTAGTGTAACCTAATAAATTGTCCTGATTTTGTGCCACCGGGGCAGGAGGAGTGTTATTATAAGTGGATAGGTGTGTGAATGCACATCCTTAATTTTTATGTTTGGAACAAGAGCCCCCATCTTTTCTAGGACAAATCTTTACGCTAAGAATAAGGTTTACTTACAGCTAAACAAATCATCATTTATAAGAGTTCAATTTTCTTCACTTAACCAAAGGAAAACAAACCTACTACTTTAACACCAGAGTCAAAATTGCACTGTAAGAAAAATATTTACTGTGAGTATTTATGATTGTTTAAGGAGAATCACTCTTTATGTGAATAAACTGTGCTTTGGATTTAGAAGTCTTTACTTGATCTTTTAAAATCATAATCAAATATTTGTGACTTATGTACTGAAAAAGAATTTTTGAAAATAGTGCATTAATTATCTTATAATGTATGGCCATTTGTGCTTTTTATATTATAATAAAGTCATAATGTTTATATAAACATCTGCATATGTAAACTGGTACAAATATAACAATTGCAATAGGATATATATGTGAGTAGATGCACATATATCAATCCAAAAGTAGAAGACTTTACTTTATATGAAAATATACAAGTACAAGTGTACAAGAAAGTTTCTGAACTAGAATCTGCTTTGCTGCCATTTTGAATAAGAATTATGAATATTAATTAACTGATTAAAGAAACCCTTGTCTTCTCATGATGTGTCCTAAAATAAACTAAAATATAAGTTAAATCTTCATCGCTTTAAAAAAATCTACTGGCTCTGGGAGTGGTAGCACCCGCCTATAATCCTAGCATTCAGAGGCTGAGGCAGGAGGATTGCTTTGAGTCCAAGGCTCTCCTGGGCTTCATAGTGAGTTCAAGGCCAGCCTGAACTACATAGCAAGAACTTGTCTCAAGAAATCAAATCATCATGCTCATGAGTATCATCATCATCATCATCATCATCATCATCATCATCATCATCATCATCATCATCATCATCTACTTGCTGTTTGTCTTCCTGGTTAAAATTTCAGTGCCATTAGAAATTTAATATGCCAAAACTCACTTTTAAAAATAAGAGAAAGAGTAATGAGTGTATATTCTACTTAGCCTGTACAGTGATACCTTAAAGATGTATTAAATTTGAAAACAAATAACATAAATGCTGAGACCAATCTGCTTTCAGTGTAAGCACATCAATGTTAGGGATAACTAAGAGCTGCACAAACCTCTCCATGAATTACCGTATCTTTCACCAGGCAAGAAAAAATTCAAGAAGAATCTGCTTGTTTAGATCTTAGAGGCCTAGATAGTATAAAAATAAGGGCCCAGGGATTTAGCTCAGCAGCACAGCACCTGCCTCACAAGTGCAAGGTCCTGAGTTTGATCCCTGGTACTGCAAAAAAAAAAAAAAATGTGTACAAGACTTTTACTTCTAGAAAGAGATAATAAGGAGAGATGTGGACAAATTGACAAAATAAGTCAGAAATAGGTACTACAGATCAAAATTTGAAAATGTTATGTCATGAATAAACACTAAGTATTGTAATGAATTTACTTAAGAGACGTAAGCAGTCAGTTTGGCCAAAAAAATCAATCTTGCATGTATATTAAATGTTATTAATGAATTGGAAATACTCCAAAATTATAAATCATCATTTCTACTTTGGCCAATTGTCGATGAACTCTAAGTCTGTTCTTAATGGTTTCAATCAGTGTAATTCTTCGAAATCTTATTTTAAAATGGACAAAAATTAAGGGATGAAACACATTCTAGACATGACTGACCATTTAATCTTGGAGGTATATAAATAATAATTAAAATTGTCCATCATATTACTCTCATTTGAAAATTCTACAATATTTCCAAATTCTGGCATAATAACACCTGTCTGACACACACTCATTCAGTTTCTCTTTTTTTCAATAAACTTGTTATCAGTTAACTCTTTTGCAAGTTGAATGATAATTAAAGAAAAGAAATAACTGACAAAGCCTAGATTTAGAAGTAGAATTTTTTTAGGAATATCAGTTTCAAATCTTATTTAGCAGTGACATTTCTTGCTCAATTTCTGCATAAATATATGCCTTTTCCTAATTGATCTGGACAGTTTTATCTGGAGAGATATTTTCACAGAATAAAAATGTACGAAGGAAATTCACAAACTGTTGAAATTCATTATCATGTGAAAATAACCATGGAACTTTTTTAAATATTCAGAATTATTCACATTGCATAAAGACATCTAAGGATGGGCTAGATATTTTGAGTTTTTTCTTTATTGGTGATTTCTCTCATCTCAATATTGGAATTTGAAAATTTAAAATGGGTACCTTTATAGACATATTTCCCAAGAGGTAAGTTATTAGTGAAAGAGATGTTGGTTCTTAGTTTTAATACCAAGTTGGACAGAACTACCTAATAAAACGAACTGGCATGAAAACAGCATGGCATATTAACAGTGGAACTGTCCAATAATGAGTGAGAAAAATCTCTAATGTAAATCGTCAAGGATTTTAATGACATACTTTCTGGATTTACTTTGTAAATAATAGCCCCTAGAAGTTCTCCTTTTATGTATTCAAGAGAATTATGTATAGACTTTACCTTTTGTTCAAATGCTCTTTGTATAATGCATTAAACAATGATACCCAAGGGGAAGCAATGCAATACCAACAAAACCAATGTAAAATTTCTTTCCTTTTTGTCATAATTAATGACACGTTATTTTTTCAGAAGAATAGAAAACCCTTTTCACAGTTTAATCATCTACAGTATCCAAAACATGTTTACAAAACCCATATATACAGAAAACACCTTAGCCATTGATCTGAAGGTTATTTGTCATAAGATATGCTGTACAGAATGACCACTCAACAGCCTACCTTGTTAGTTTTTTCTCTAAACTCAACAAGTAAGTATCAGAGAGTCAAGAGCCATGTAAATTTATGGTACAATTTGCCAATCAGCTTTCTACAAAGACATAATATTATCACTAAATTTCTCAGATATTAGTGTGACTACACTAGAGATGTGAACAGAAATAAGTGATTCCTTTAGTCCATCACCAAAGTTGCAATTCTCCGGATTTGCAGAAAATGAAGTGGCAATCCATGTTGTATTTCTGTGCTTGAACAGATTGCCAAAACTCAATCTATTGCTTATAATTTATGACAATCTTCTTCTGGTACAACTTCCAGTATTATCTGTAATGTTCTGGTTATCGTGTCTACAAAGAAATAAAGAAGCAAAATTAAAACTGCAGAGAAATCAGAAATGCACAACACACCAAAATAGGAATTGAGTTGAATACTAAAAACACACAACTGCCTATTTCATACAGCACTTTCAAGAATTATTTACTTCATTAGAATCCTATCACGCTCAATTAATTTACTTGTCATTTCTGTAACTTCCCATGGTAGTCTCTCAGCAAGAATGCATTAATATTTTGTATTCAAATAAGAACTTTCAGTCATGAGCCAGGAGGCTGAAAATACCGTGAGACAATCAGATGAAGATATAAATAAAAGTTCAAAAGCATGCTTTATATTCAATTGAAAATTGGATTGTTCTTTTTGCACCTGTGAGATCACAACCCATTCCTCGGAAAAATCAGAAGAATCAGAATATATTTTCCAGTCTCTAACTTGGAGTGTACATTGAGCAAATCACCTCACCTCCCAGAACATAATTTGTCTCAGAGGTAGAACAAGATAACAGGACTAAGTCTCTGGTTCTCCAGGTGTGCCCCACACCGACCAGCAGCAGTGAGCAACATCAATAGAGATGGACTTCTATCCTCAACTTACTGAATCCGAAACTGAGGGTCAGGCCTAGCAATTCTGATACAGGCCAGAATGTAAGAACCTCATCTCAACAACCCTAGAAACTTGTGACTCCAATTTCAAGAGATCTTTCTTGTTTTCCTCTTTGTTCTCAATTCCCTGTAGAACCTCTTCATATTTCTCATAAGCCGGGAACAGTCTTGCGTCTATTCTTTTGATGGTTTCACACCCATGTTCTCTCTCACCTGGATATACTGTCTTTCTCCTCATTTATGCCTTGTTACTTGTAACAGCCCCTTGCAAACAATACTTAAGGACACTAAGAAAGGTATTTCTTTCCTTTGCTTTAAAACTCTGTTCCCTAAAATTGTTTTATTCAATGTATTAATTTTTAGTCTACATTAATTGTACATGGTCTAATGCAATGCTGGAAAATTATAAACTCTATGAAAATGTTTCTTAAGTAAATTGCATTTTGTCACAGCCCATTCTTAACCTAGAGAGCATAAGACAACACTCAAGAGAAATTAAACCCCATATTCACAGAAAAGGGAAATGGTACATTTATTCTACAAATATAGACTTTTGTGGGAAAAGTAAATATTCATCAATAGTAAGCTTTTGTAGGCAGACGAGGGGCTAAGCTCTCTGATAGTAGGTTTTTTAAGAAGCAAGATTTCTTAGGCATTTACAATGGGCAAAGAGCAGGGGGGATACAGAGACATTTTCTGAGCCTGCTCCCTGGGGAGGTCCTGCCATAGTCTCCTGAGTTAATCCCCACACGGCTGCCTTTCTAACTCAACCTCTGTTCTTCCACACCCAACATCAAATCTTTTCCAAAAGAGGTTTCCCGCATTCTGGGACCCACAGCCCTTTGCTTCTTAGGCATCTTGCTTCCCACATCAGAACACTGCATCTGTCCCAGGCAAACAGGAAGCAACTTGGACCCAGCCTTTCTGCTAGTGTGTCATTCTCCTTCCCCGAAAGCACAACTTGGATTCTGTATTCGGCGCAGCAGCACATAGAAGGCCAAAAAGTCCCTTCTGATTCTGCTCACCTAGTCTTTTCTCTTCCTGCGCATCCTTCACGTTCAATCAGCTCTGTTCACATTCACCCCTGCCTCTTTCTACATTGTCTCTTGGGATTTCAGAAGTTGAATAATTATCATCATAATGGAGCATGATGCAGAATGATTGATTTTGACCTTGTGGTACCTGCCTGAGTCCAACAACTTTTCTTTCTGAGTTTTCTTATAGCAGTGGGGTCAGACAAGAGTGCTCAACAGAGCCAAGTAAGCCTCTAGGGAAGCTTCCTTCTTGCCCAGCAAAGCCACAGAGCATGTGGCTTTCTGGTGCCATGTCTGCACTCCTGCTCACAATAAGGTCTGTAGCTTTGGAATAATCAGTCCCATGTTACCGCTTCTTTAAGGAGAGACAAGGAGTCTACATTTGCAGCTTTTAGTAATTGCAATCTGCAGAGCCCAATAGAAGTTGTGGTATTTTTAGCTTTACCTTTCATCTTCAGTTGTTTTTCTTGAAATAATTTGAAACACAACCAACTTGGCAAAATCTGATTTACTGAACCGCACCTGGTACCAGCATGGAAGCTACAGCCAAAATTAAGTCTGTGAATTAGCACAAGGCCAACATGTCCCAGAAGTTATGTTAAGAATAATAGTGTTTTTAAAGCCTTCCAAATTCTTTTATATGATCTCCTTTTATGACTACAATCAGGATTATTTGGGTCCCTGAGAATGCAGGCAAGCTTAGTTCACTTAAAAGGTTGCACTGCAGTCTTCGTGGAAAGTCTGCAATCGCATTAATGGACTTCCAGTGATGTGTCAGAAGTGAAGCTATCTTGACACAACGTGGGCAGCTTATGCATCTAGAACTCTGGAGTTGCAAAGTCATAGTCCACAGAGATGGATTATAGTCATTTTGCTGGTATTGTCCAGAATGATTTTTTATCACCAGTGATTCTGTATAAATAAGGCTGTCCTCCATATCTCTCCCCATGCAAGAGTGGACAATTTCCAGTCACCCACACACTCTCAGTGGTGACAGGCTTTGGCTGATAAATAGAGGCAGCCAAGTGAAACCATAATGCAGTCCCTGGCTGGGGGTTTTCCAGGTCTCACTACCTCTGTGTATTTGCATCTGTCTTTGGGGTACCTGCCCCTTTTTCCTTGTGTGAGAAGCTCGTGTATCTATAAATAAGTAAATAATATCAACAGTCAACCAGAAGAATTAACCACTCTGCCCTACATGGAAAGAAAAAGCTTTCTGTTTATCTGACTATACCCTTAAGAGCGCATTTTCTTCTCACCCTGGAAATGCTCTCACACAAAAAGTGGTTCAATACTGGCATCCTGTGGCCAGAGAGATTCATCAAATTTCTGAAAATCTCAGATGCTAGGGTTCTGAAGATCCTTGGCTGTCTGTACCTAGCAGCCTTTCACTATTTTCTGAATGCTGCTTGGTTCCCTACCATCCTTCATGGAAATAGCCTGGTTAGATGTATTTTGATGAACTATCATGCTCTCAAGGCTAATCTACTCACTTATATTAGAGTGAAACAAAAATGATAACATAAGAGCTAAAGATTTTACCAAACAAAACAATGTAATATTAAATCACTGAATGCACTGCTCCAAGCAAAGACTCTCTCAGCCTCTAAGTTCACTGCAGTTTCTCTCTAACAAAATGTACATCTTTGGGGAAAGGATCAGGCAGCAGTTTAGGACTCTATTGTTTTGTGTGTCTGTGTATTTTGTTTTGGCCAGAGGCTAAGAAAATACTTGCTATTGCAAGCAATAAATATTATGAATTTTCTTTATTTTACTACAAGAATGCTGCCTAAGAGGGAAATCAAACAAAATTACAGAGGATTGTTGCTTTTTGCTACTCTCTTTCAAGGCAGCTATAAAGATAAAGAGTTACAATAATCACAGTTTAAAGGCAGGATGACCATGCTCCCTGGTAAGACTTAATGGCATTTTTGAGAACCAAATAACCATTCTGGGACTACTCCATTGCTGCAAGTTTCACAAATGGCTAACACTAAATTCAGGGGCCTTGGAGATGTTCAAAATATCATTAGAGACAGAAAAATAGCAAAACAAAAACAAAACATCGCAAATTACATGAGCATGGAAAGATAACAAATCAACAAAAAATGATCAAGGGTGAAGACTCGTTCGTTGGTGTATAAATGTCACAGAGTTGGTACAGAACACACAAAGGAAAGAACTCCAAAGTTGGCTGACTACAAACAGGGAGGACAAAGTACCTACTAAGAGGAATTGAACAAGAAATTTGCTCTTTCATGTTGCTCCCCTGGCTTTTCTTTCAACTTAAGGGATACAGCTCATTCTTCCTAAATGCTCTTGGTTTTCCATGGTACTCAGGTGTTTTCATCGCCTTAGACATGGATCTCACAGAGATAAGCACCAATCTATCCTAGTTATTAGTAATAAGTCAAGTAATCCTACTGGTAAATGTTGTTTGACAAGTTCCTCCCTCCCTTCAAAATAGGCTGTATACTGAGTGTCTGCAACAGAGAAAACTGAGCTAAAAATATTCTTCTACAGAGAACTAAGATGATTTAACAAGAAAGAGAGATTAAACACTCACTTAAAGCAATCAGTGTGCTTGTGTTAGCTGTGAAAAACTCTAACTTGCACAGTGACATTGCTTTGGAGAACAGTTTTGCAAGCTGGATTGCAAAACTCAGAGAGTTTAGTGGTCTAAAGATAACAAATGGCAATTAAAAACTAATAAAGAATAGTAACAAAGCTGTGTTGTAAGTGATTGGCTTCTAAATGAGTGTGTGTAACACATTAGAGATTCAAAGTACCCATATCACAGTGGTGAGCACTAATCTGCTTGGGTACCTCTCATTTGTCATGGACTCACCCAGGTTTTCTTTTTTGGGTTTTTTTTGTTTCAGCACTCATATTATTTATTAATAATTTTACCGGAAATTTCCCTAGATTTTAAACTGGGACTTAAAAATTAATTATTATAACCTAAGTAAATTAAAACAAAGAACTATAAAACCAAAGGGAAGGTGTATTCCAAAGTCGCCAGACTTACCAGCAAGGACATAGGTGCCCCTCTGTCTATATTTTGTGATCTCCAATCCCTAACTCTCTCTAATATTAAGCACCCAACTCAGAAAGACCATGGACTTTGAAGTCCACCAGGCATGGGTTCAAATCCTAGCCGTACACATAAAAATAGGTACAATCAGAAATAAATTCCCCATCTCACCAGGTGGGAGTGACACCACAGGTCTTATTGAGAACTGAGATGCTGAAGGTGATGCAAGAGAAGGCCTTGGAAGAGCCACTGACAAGCACACAGGTTCTCACCACCCTCCCACCTATTGGTCTACTGTAGCTTCTCCTCCTCACCAAACTCTACTGGGTTTGCTCCTGAGTCTCTTTCCCCTTCTCTCAGAGCCTGCTCACATGTGTTCAGACTCAAACCACCATTCAGTTCTCCATCTTCAGCCTCGGCCCTTTCTAGTCCACCCTCACAGCTCCCAGGGTGACTGCTCTGAAATATGAAACTGCTTGAGTTTGAATTGCAGCTCACCTACTTTAAAACTGTATGACCTGGGGAAAGTGACAGGAACGCTCCCATGCTGTGACTCAACCTATGAAATGGGGATGACTTTTCTACCTAAGGGGACAACCTCCACAGTGACTAAATCTGGTCATGCGTGTACAAACACATAGAAACAGCACTATAAAAAGAACTGCTATTCTCCCTTGTTTCTTGTTGCTGTTATTTTGACCCCGTGTCTAGCAACATAGTGTTTATAATTGTGATATTTAAGACATTTGGAGGCTTCTGTATAATTCCCCAACAAACCTCACTTCACTCATGAAGTTATATGTTATGATATAAAAACACAAAACTGCATTCAATCCAGAAAGATAATTAGGTTACTAAGGGATTCAAAAGAACAATTGGGTCATATACAGAATTTCTGATAGAATTCTATCTAAAAAAGCTTTTCTTTTAAAGAGGTGATTAGAGCAACCCAGACTAAGCCTCCTGAAAGGATTCAGTGGCTGTGCCCTCAATGTCCTTTCTGCTTCTTCTGCTCTCAGTCCTAATTAAAACGCAATAATATATTCCAGCTAGAGATTGTGCCACTTACATTTTTTAACTGTGAGATATGCATGTTACATATACACACCTACCTCGGTTTTCCAAAACAGGGTCTCTCACAGGGTATCGGAAAGTCTTACCTGACATTCTTCTAAACCAGTTGGGTTTCTTGTCCCATATAACAAAGAGATAGTATGCAGGGACACCAGTCAGAGTGATGACAAAGCCAATCCCAGTACTGAACGGGTCGGAATAGAGGGAAAGGGCCACCATGAAGAAGCATGTGAAGGAAAACAGCGCTGGAATGAAGAGGGGCACCTGGACACAGCACAGAAAACATTCACTTCAGAAAGAGTTCAGGAGGCAGGGGTGGGTTCCAGATGGGTGTGTCTGTCACATAAGGAGCTTTAGTGACACATACACTTCAGCCACGTGACAGGCACAACCCACTTTGTAGCAAAATCTCCTGTGCAGGGCACATAGGATATATTCAACGTGACTCCCCGAATATATTTGTTTTAACTTGATTTTAAATCTTTAGATGGATAGTCTGAGGCTTATAAGGGGGTGTTTCATTAGAGATGATCTATTTGAATTATTTTGCTACTTAAGTACCATTATGATTTATGTTTTTGATTTTAAAAGATTGGCTCTTTGATAATCATGATTAGAATCCACTTTAAGGTGGCATCAAGAGCACTAGCAGCTTGTTATATGTTTGAGCCTTTCAGGGCATATTGATTTTCTGTTGAGACTCACAATAAGAACTGACAGGAATAAAACAGGCCAACTCCTATTCAACCACTAATAAAGATGCTGCCAGCATTAGGCAATGAATATAATTAGAAACAAATTCTGACAACATGACTGACAACATTATCTGTACTATTTCTTAAAAGCAAATAAACAGTGAGGTTAAATCAATCTGTGAATGTACAAGGCTGAAGAAGATGACAAGCCCTTCCAAAAGAAAACGTTAGTTATAGTAAATGGATATTCTATTAACTGGTAAATTCATAGATCTCCTCTTACCCTGTGTATTTTTCATTTGCATTTCTTTAGGGTGCATAATGTAGATAGACAGCAATGTAACAACTCACAATATGTAAGTACTTAAAATGTCTATTCTGTGAAGCAGCATCCTTTCTGGTGTTTCAATTAGTAAAGTATCTGGCCCGCTCTTTCTCACCATGGCCTACGCATGACTATTCAACATGAAGACAGAAGTAGCACATCTTTTGAACATCTCAGGTCATTGAACCCATTTGTGAAAAATCAACATAACAAATATACCTCTTTTTGAAAATGTGTCATACAAAGTTCAGTACATCACATTAAAAAAATGGACAAATGATTTTTTCCCAAATTAAAATAAACTCCTATGAAGGCACTATGCTCAAGAGTTAAACATTTTATTCCACAGGACACTGCCCCTGCCAACCTCCCCATCATCAAGTTATGACAAACAGAGGACTAGGTATTAGAAGAAAGATTTATGTAAACCCATCAAGACTGCTGAGGTTACCTTGAAAGGACGATGCATATCTGGGTGTTTGTATCGAAGATAAATCAGCCCAGCAACTGCCAGCCCAATAAAAAACCACCTGACAAAACTGAGGAAATTCAAAAGACTGTAGAGATCTCCGGAGAAGAGCATTATCATTGTCAAAGGGTGCTAGGGGAAAAGGGAGAAAAACAAGTTTGGTGAATTTAAACAAGAATATAGATGATAACCAACAGTGGCATCACTGCACATTATAATTATTATTGTTATCGTTTTCAAATGATTACTTGTATGGATAAGCTATTATCATGATCAAAGCCCAGATTCACTAGCTTCTTTTCTACAATTTGCTCTTATAATCCCTTTACACCAGTGTCATTATCATTATCCTTTATTAGAGTGGAATTTTAAATGGATATTTTGCTTTCAGTTCCTTTTATGTTTAGGAGAAGAGAGTGTGTTTTCAAAGGGTAAAAGGCAAGGTAATCAATCATTGAAAATGCAAAGACTCAGAGATTGGGATGATTAAGAAATAACCAATAATAAACATTAAGTATGAGCCTAACTGTAAAACTCAGAAGAAAAGCTCTGTGAATGCTCTCTGATGAGCTCTTGGCTCTCCACACACATGAACGCAGCCACTTCTAGGTGAAGCTGCTGGCTCTTGAATGCAAAACGTTGACCTTTTCTTCCTCCACATTTACTGTCCCTGTGTGCTTGCCATGTGTGACCCTCGAGACCTTGGAAAAGAATGAAGTGCTGAGAACAGCGGAGTAAGGCTCCACAGCTGCACATGCCAAGGACAGCATGACTGATAGCAGACGCTTAAAATGAAAGCCCTCTTCGTGGAATAATACCTTCTGTTCCCACTAGTGACGCTGACTTCCAGATTCCTCACAGAGAGTATGCAGTACTTTTAAAAGAAATTTCAAGGAAACACTGTGAAATAAATTAAATGTATGAGGGGTGGGGGGAGTGATGTTCAATGTATTCTGTGGTACCTCTGGCAGCAGATTCTAGTTGAGAAAAATGTTACAAAATTATAGGTAAAAATGACTATAACATTGCCAATGGGTATCTGAGGACTTTAACACCTTTTACAGTCTTTTGTATCCCACATTTCACAAACACTTTTCTCTGCATAGAGAATTCTACAACTTAAATGTAAGTGCTGGGGCTTTTCTTTCTTTCCTGTAAGGTTACTCTCAAATGCCTTGCTTTTAATCAAAGAATCACGGCACCGTCTAGGATTTCTTCAATTCTTTGAATAATTTTGTGTGCATTTCATTATAGGGGATTCTTGATGAGACATCTAGGTTTCTTTTGACAGTGGATTTTAGCTGTATCTGCTGTAAGTAGTTAGGACTTTTTACTCTATACCCTTGCCTTTGAGGTTCCCTGTCAATAAGAGGAGCCACACTAATTATTTTCCTTAGACCTCAAGAATTTCTACAAAGGTAAAATAGAAGTGATGTGGTTAATGCCCTAAAGCTTCAAAAATCCACAAGAAGAGCTAAGTAAAGGGAAGCAATGGAAAATATCCTGCCTCCCCAACTCCACCACGACATACATAGAGCCAGTGAGAAAGTAAAGAGCCATCTAAAGTCTGTTTGACTTTCTCTTTGCTAACTTGTTATTTGAGGCTTTAGCTAGATAAACTTGTTAATATGCATTACCAAAACAATAACAGCTGGTAGAGGAGTGTGCTTGCGGACATGAATCATGGAGAGGATTTCTGGAAGATGACCCTCTCGAGACGCAACATAGAATAACCTGATGGGAGAGAAATGCGGGTGGAGTTGACTGTATCATTGATCATTTCACAGGGAAAAGCCAGAAATCCCAAGAACACTTGTATCTTTCTCATACCAAACGAATTGGCATGTCTTAACTGAATATTTAGGTTTCACTTTTCACGCAAGGTAGAGAACATCCTAAGGACCCTGAATTCAAGATTTACAAAACCTGCCAACATCTTACATTATTCTCAGAGGAGAAACATAGCAGCGTGTGACTCAGCATGGTTCTCCCTCCACTGTAAATAGCTGAATGAGAACTTAGTTCTAGGGCCCTAGCACGGATGGGTGTTGTATGTGTGTTGTCGGTACAACCCAAGAGACACACACGCACATAACGTGACCAGATCATACCTATCTGATCAGCTTTTAACTGTATCATGTTGAAACTAAAAGGACTCCTGCACTGAGCAAAAGAAAAAGGATACAGACGGTGGGATGGTGATTTCTGGTGTCTCTTACTTTACTTTTTTTTTTCATGAAACCTTTAGAAACACAAAAGATTTTATCACCAGAAATAAAATGCTGTTGTTAGGCTCTGTAGACATACTATAAAAAATGCCTCTTGCCTGTCTTCAGAATGAGCTCTGAGCAGACAAGCAGTGCCCTCTAATGGGCAGAGGAAGACATGCTTTTGATGGTCGCCCCAACTAAGAACTCAGCTGTCCCTTTAAAAACAACAGGTTTCAAGGCACTATTGCTTTTCATTTTAAAGTTATCCTTATCACATCCAATCTCAAAAACAGAAATGTGTTTCTGGAAATATGTGAACTCACTCACCTGGAGACAGCAAACACACCACCATTCATGGAGCCAAAGCAGGAGAGGGCAACAAAGATCGGAACTGCTAATGAGAAATTTCCCAGTAGCCGCTCAGAAAACGTCTAGTGAAAGAACAAACGAAGCAAATTAATGCTTTTCCAGAAAGAAGAAAATGAAACAATTTAGGTCAAACTTGCTCTATGACTTTCTATTAGCCTGGTGATACGTGTATGTTTTATAATCCTTCTGTTTGGTTAGGGTCAGACTCACTCCACAGATAATAATCAGAAGCAGGTACCATGGCATTTCTTGTTGCAAAACTATGGCCAAAGGTCTCAACAAGCACCTTCTCTCCACCTTTAAAGAGCAATGATCCATTTACTGAATCTTTATCAGCCATGATACATCATCTTAGACTCTGATAAGTGCAAAAAGCTCAATTCAGACATTCAACTTTTGAAAACAGAAATCCTGCACAATACCTTCTCTTGAGCCTGGAAAGCCCTATTTTTATAGTGAGGTTGAGAAATACATTGAGAATTATTACACACATTTGTTTCATATACCAATCCCACAACTAGGGGATAAATAAAACAATGGATGACTTGATCGTGTATATCATGTATACACGAATAGTTTTGAGATTTCTATTCCCTGGAAGAATAACACAAGCTGAAGCTGTTTATGGAGTCACTGTTTCACTCTTGGGTATCTACTACTTCCTTTGTGCTTTCCTATAAAAAGGCTAAAACACCAACACAAATCCAAAAACTCAGAGAAAATATACAAGATAAACAAAATTCTGAAATCTCCTTTTTTATGTAACATTGCGAATTTCCGTGAAGGATGTATTTTCCCCAAAAAATATGTGGGATTCTTCAGTTGTCCTTGATGCAGTTGGTACTGTGTAATTAATGGACAACATTATGTCCCCGAAATTAGTGCTGCCCTTTGTCTAGAAAGATGGGAGGACTGACCCGACATCAATAAGCTTTGCACATTTGATTTTGTGATTGGATGTACGGCAGTGGACAAAGCCTTTTTATTACAGTGAACTCATACATGGGTTCACCCAACATGAGATAATTTATTCCCTGTGGATGTTGCTATCTGAGATAATACAGGCTATTTTAAAAGGACCTGACATTCAATGATGGGAAGTTAATTTTTCCCCTTTCATTGTTAGGAGGTCATGAGTGAATGTGCTCTTACCAGCTAAATTTTTATGCAAAATAAAAGTATTTGTCACAGAATAACAGTCCTATACCATGATCTTTGGGGACAAAGACAGTCCTGATTTCAAACTTTGGAAAAATGTTGTGAAATTGTGTATATCCACTTGTCAGAGAGGTAAAATACACACAAGTATCTTTAATACTCTGAGAAGAACTACAGCAACAACATCTGTTTCACATTTAATCACCTAGAATTTCCCAAATTTATGAATATCCCGAGACTAGTATTCAAAGGATATAGTAGAAAAAACAAATATAAATGGTTCACCTGAAAATTCTTAAAGGATGCTTTGGGGAAAGGATTTTAAGTCAGCATTTAGAAAGTTTATAAACAGGAAATGGTACAGAATGAACTATAATTTGCATATCAAAAAACCATATTTATTTAGATTCAGTCCATCTCTACTTAAAAATATATTGAAAAATAATCCCTTTTACTTAAAAGTCTTTGACATACTTTCAAGCAGGTAGAGGTGGAAATGTTTTGAAAGATATTAAGAATAAAGAAGATAAATCATTGAGGATTTTACCTGTACCCGTTAAATGGGATATGCTAAGGTGTGCTCTAAATTTTTTAAATAGTCATTATCATTCAGGTCAATAAAAGATAACTGAATTCCAAAACACTTTCTCCTGGAGGGAACTACTATAAAATTGCATCAACTCATTAACCTAAATTCAAATTGGCAGTTTTTCAACTTGGACTTACCACTGCCACTGCGTTTGAAAGCAACAGTTCCTCAGCACTAATGGTTGTAAAGTAGGCCACATTTGTTAGCACGTAGCCAACAGTGACAATAGCCATCGATATACATATTGCAAGGGGGACAGTTCTGAAATGCAAAAAAGGATCACTTATTAGTTGTCTGCTGTTAGTTATCTTCTGATACCAAAGAGGACAGCAGGCTCATTCAAATAAAGAATATAATGATATCTATGATAATTACAGGCTCTGCTAGGGCAGCAATAAACATTTCATCACAACAAAGTACCAGATCTTCCTTTGTAATTTAATAAATTCCACAAGGGCAGATATTTCACCTGATTTGTCTACTGCTCCACCCGGGAACATGCACTCCATAAATGCTGTAGCGGGGCAAACTTGAGCATGTGTCGGAATCACCTGGAAGACTTGTTAAAACACAGCCCCAGCCTAGAGTTTCTGATTCCTTATGTTTAACATTTCTCACAAAGTTTGTAAGTGAGGCTGATGCAGTGGACCTAACGAACTGCACTTTGAAAGCCACTGTACTACATACTTTTTAATACTAATTCACCACCTTGACATCTTTCTAAAATAAGTCCTCAATAACAGAAAAGAGGCTACAGCAGCAAGTCCAGACCATTCAGGAATCTAATCTTTGATAAAGGAGTCAAATACACTGGAGGAAAGATAGTCCCTTTAACAAATGGTGCTGGGAAAACTAGCTCTCCACATGCAGAAGATTGAAACTAGAGCCATATCTCTCACCAGGCACTAAGCTAAAATCAAAAGGAATCAAAGATCTAAATGTTAGAACAGAAATACTTAATTTGCTGGAAGATAAAACAGGTAAAACTCCTGAAGACATAAGCATAGGCAAGGATTTTCTGAACAGAACCCCAATTATACAAGAAATGGAAGCAAGAATCAATAAACAGATCATATCAAATTAATAAAGCTTCTGCACAGCAAAGGAAACAACCAAGAGAGTGAAAAGACAACGTACAGAATTTGAAAGGGGTTTTTACATTAAAATATTAGTTAAGGATCAATAAAGATCTCAAAACACCTAACACACACCCCATTAAAGAGTCAGTCTAAAGATGGTTAACTGAAATGAACTCACTTCTCAGAAGACAAAATATAAATGGCCAATCATTACCTAAAAATATATTTACCATTTTTGGCCACTAGAGAAATGCAAATTAAAACTGCACTGAGATTCCACCTTTCCTCCAGAAAGAATGGCTACCATCAAGAAATCAAATTAATAGCAAATGCTGGAGAAGCTGCAAGGAAAAAGGAACTATTCTTCCATTGGTGGTGGGAATGTAAACTAATACAACCACTATGGAAATCAGCATGGAGATTTCTCAGAAAACTAAAAGTAGAAATTCCAGGGGCCCGGGATGTAGCTCAGTGGCACCATGCCTGCTATCCTGAGTTTGATTCCGAGTGTGAAAAGAAAAAGAAAAGAAAGAAATTCCATTCAACCCAGGTATTCCCATTCTAGGTATCTTCTCAAAAGAGTCAAAGACATCATATTACAAGGATATATGCATAGCCATGCTTATATGCATACCCATGCACAATTCATAATAGCTAAATCTTGGAAATGGCCTATGTATCTATCAACAAACAAAGTAATAATGTGACATTTATATACAATAGACTACTATTCTGCCATAAAAGAAGATAAACTTGGGTTATTTGTAGGAAAATGGATGCACCTTGAGATCATAATATTAAGTGAAATAAATCAGATGCAGAGGTTAAATATTGCATGGTTTCTCTTAAATGACAAACCCAAAATATAAATAGAAAGATAGATAATAGGAAATAGGGAGACAGTCTTTGCAAAAAGGAAGGGGACCAAGAGGTGGAGGGAGGAAGGAGGGAGGGGAGGGAAACTGGATGAAAAAAGAATTGAGGTACGGTATATACACTCCCCATGAGGAACACAATAATTATGTATGGCCCATATGTACAAAATAAAATAAGTCTTCCAAAACTTCTTCACATTCAGTGTTATCCCCTTCAGTGGCTTCTCCTGCCAACAAGTAAGTGCAGACTTTTGGAAGCATGATAGCGAGACACATCTACCTTTTTAAATGATGGCAATAATATTTTTGTATGTAATGCAAAAAAGCTCAGAAGTGTCCACAATAATGACTTCACACTGCCCTGCGAGAGTTCAAAGAAAGCTCGAGAGCAAGAGTATCTAATAAACCAACAGTGCAGATAATCCCATGAAATTAGAGGTGACATGTTGTGAGGTATGGACGACCAGACATCGCTGACACCGTGTGGCATCAAAAGGTACACGGCACCAATGCAATCTTATGTCTTCATTTAATCCACTGAAAAAGCCAGGAAGCTACTGACCCTAATAATTTGATTCCGTGTTACTGATACACATTACTTGCTTAATATAATTGCCTCTTCATACTCTTTCTGGTTCAGGCAACTTAAACCTTCAACTCCAGGCACAACGTGTGATCGTTTTTTAACTATAGTGCTTATCAGCCCTCATGAAGCCTTCATCCGGCTGGGTGCCACTAATGAAGACCTCAATATAATTTCTTCCAAGATGAAAATGTGGTTCAGAACCCGGGGAGAAAAAGACAGAGCCTGCCTTGATATGATAGCCAAGCTGGGTGTGTTGAGCACACCAGTACCAGCTCATTATGTGGAACACCAGCATCCCCTGTTGAGAACAGGCAAATCCAGCCAGTCAGCAACTGCCATTCATTATGCTGTTTGCAGCCTGATGCTTCCCCTGATCCCCAAAGCCTTCAGCCTTGATGGGGAAGCACACTGACCTCTACATCCTGGCATCCTGACATGAAAGTAGCAGATGTTCCCCTTCCCCAGTGCAAAGAGGATCCTGTGGAATTTTGCATTAACACCACAATATGTCTTGCTATTTGTGATTGATAAATGCTAAAGTTAAGCAAAGAAAATGACTGGAGCAATGAAATACAGGGAGGCAAATGTCATGAAATAATTCAAGACGAATTCTGTTTTTTTGAAAGGAAGGCTAAATGTAAATGCACAAGGATAGGAGAACATGAAGGAAGGCATACACACCACTTTTCAACCACTTGCTATATTATTTTAAGCTTGAATCCTTCTAGGTTTTACAATAGACCTGCATGGGAGTTAATATATTCTATAAAGAAGAGAGACAGAGAGAGGGCAAGAGAGGAAAAGTCTTTCTATTCCTTGTAAGCATATAATTAAAATATGTAAAGGTTCTAATAATTTAAAAGTAAACTGACATTCTTAAATGCAGAAAAATAAAGGAGCCTGTCCAGGACAGGAAGTACTAGCATAGCAAGGCTATCAAAAAATAAGAGAGAAGTAAGTTTGATATTTGGAACTGTGATCCTGTCAGCATAGAATCCATCCTCCCATCCCAGTTCGTCGAAGCCAGCCTCCCTGCCTGTTTCCAACCTAGACATGATGTTCTCTCTGAGGTGGTTTTCTAAGCTGACTTAGCAAAAGACATCCTAGAAAATCCAGTCTTCTAGATTAGTAACCCTTCTTCCTCAGTTTTCTATTAATGAAAGTAGCATCAATAGTTGCTGCCACTGGGCTGTTTTATATTCAGTATTTTTTAGGCATTTGACATATTTGACTCATGTTTTTCCTGGGAAATTGCTGTAAGTTAGGAACATCAGTACCATTGTATTTAATAGGAAATGGAGTCTTTGAGAGTTTAACTATCCAAAAATATACAACCAGTAGGTGGAAACCCAGAATTCAGTTGCTTCGCTGGCCCTGCTTTGAAACTATGGGATTTTAACCACAAAGTGGATTTGCTTTCTGTCACATCTGTCGTTCCCTGAACTTGATTACTTTTCAGGAAAGTCACAGTTATTGAATGTAAAGTTTATTGCAAAGGTATAATCAAGACTATATTTCTCATAGATTCACTGAAAATATAGTTTAATCTATTGTAAAGGGGGAAAACCTTACTCTATACTGCTTCTTTTCTGTATAACATGAACTATAATATTAAGTGAATGTTTTTTCAACAAATTTCGCTGTTTCAGAAATAGGTTAATATTATTATTTAATATTTAAAATAAAACAGAGCTTCACCTAATAAATTTCCTAGACAGGTTTTCATACAAAAAGGAGGAAAATAAGAATGTTTATCAAATAAGCTGAAATAGATTATTAATAATTTTATTCTCAGCCAAATATTCTATGTAGATATTGGGAAGAGAAATCATGGGAGTTTAAAAGGAGGCGAAGAGAGAGAGAGATTGAGATTTATCTTGTTGGAACGTACAATATACCTAGTGGTTCTCTTGAATCGGATAAAGTGAAGCTATGAAAATCAGAGAAAGTGCAGCGAAAGAGCCACTATCTTCTGTCCTTAGGGCCCACTTCACTGAGGAAGTGGCAGAGGTGGGGCAGCTCTCTAGGCAGCCCAGGCATAAACAGTATCTAAAAAGGAGTGTTCAGAAGGGCCTGGGATCATGTGGCTAACTCCTGGGTTTCCAGCATCAAAGTATAAGAGCCACTGGGTGAGCTGATAAAAGCTATTAGGCCATGCTAGACCAATCTCTCTGGAGGCTTTAGATGCAGAGGGCAGATAAGCATGGTTAGTAACACAAGATTAAGGCAAATAGCACAGGATAACAAAAGGAATTAGAGGAAGGAGCCAGCAGACCACTGATGTCTCAAAGCTTCTCTGTCATTGTAAGGTACCCTCCAATCTTTTTTTTTTTTTTTTTGGTACCTGGGATCGAACTTGGGTCCTTGCGCTTGTGAGGCAGGCAGCGGAACCACTGAGCTAAATCCTCGGCCCAAAGAGAAGAAAGGTAGGTTTTGGTTTTTTGTCGGTACCGGGGATCAAACTCGGGACCTTGTGCTTATAAGGCAGGTGCTGGAATCACCTGAGCTAAATCCCCAGCCCGGTACCCTCCAATCTTAATGACAACAAAAGCATCATCTTTAAATTGAATAAAAATGACTCACACCTGAGTTCTACTTGGTCTCAAATGCCTGTACATGTTTCCTACGATTAGCAAGACATAAGTTTATTGAAAAATCACTTAACCCTTAGGAGATTTTTGTCATTATATTAACAAGCGTTAAGTGAGTGAGTCTGGTACT